GTGAAACATTAAAAGCTCTGTGTAAGAAAAACTTACTCATAATAATCTATTGCCAGTGACCATCATGTTAGATGATTTGGGACTTTCTTACCAGGAAATATAGACAAAAGTTTGAAATTTTACCAGCAAATTCCTAAGTTCAAGCTTAAATTCCAAAACCTCTCATTATGTTTAAATGAGTTAGGTACAGAAATACTACTCTTAATAGGAGCCTTAGTATATCACCTTCAGCCTACTGAAAGCATGAAATGACTCATGACACTTACTGAATATTTTTAAAAGGAATTCCTTGAAAAAAGTCCCAGTATTTAGGAACTCCGATGTTACCAAGATTCAGTATTAGACTGTTATTATTCACAATCAAATTTTTAGGCAAATGACATATTTAGGGCTCAATATTTTTATGTTTCAGAAGGAAAATTATTTTCTTCTTAAAAAAGATTCATTATTTCCTTTGACCAGTATAAAACAATAATCCTGTCCAATCAGTCCATAATTAGACTTGAATCATGACATTATTGTTGTACAAAGAACGATTTCAAATGTTTTAAGAGGATTTAATTCAGTGCTAATCACAGTTTCTCTCTTCCTTGATCTTAAAATTTTTGGAGACAGTAGTTCAGGCAGATTTGGCTGCAAATTAAAGAGGAGATAAAACAATGCAATTTTTATATCCTCTGTGACTCATTTTTTGGTGAAGCATTTCACAACACTCGTGTATATAATACAATACTCAACTGCTGCACACAGGGCACTTGTATTTTGGACAAGGCAGCAAACATAGCACTGTGAGCTCTGGAAACAGCCTGAAATGTGGACAAAACACACCAACGGCTTTGGAAAGCCACATGAGCTGTTTCACAAATGTAACTTAGATATCCCGCAAACGCAAAAAGAACAACTTTGTTATGCTGTCTGGTTCAGAAAGCAATGCTTTTAGCATGTGTGGCTAATAGGAGCCTTAGCTGTGCTTGATCACTTCCCCCATAAGCTGTTTAAACATGAGGCATTAGGCTGGAAAGCTGAGCACTTTCACAGAGGATGGGGGTTAATAATTTACAGTGCAAAATCCTTTGCGTTTGATTAAGTTTGTAACTTAATTTACAGTGCCAAATCCGTTTGATCTGCTGAGAAATTCAACCCAGCTAGAGCATAATTTTGTTTAATAGCACGGTGGGCGAGGAGGTTGCCAGAGGTGGGGTGCTTCCCTGCTGGCTGGGGTCAGGCTGCTGGAGCTGGCTCATGTACCAGCACATGGAGTTCTGCTGTCTCCCTTCCTCATGGGCTGCTCCCTTTTGCTGTGTGTTTAACACACGCACGTGTATTCATGTCTGAGCTCCATTTTCTCTGGCAGCTGCTGTAGGTGAGCTGCAGATGCGTCTTTGGAAGTCTCCCAAGGCACAGATACTCCGAGCCCACCAGAAGGAGCCTCACTCTCCAGGTGGAGGCTGCCCAGCTGAGAAATGTGCCAATAATGAGAGCAGAGAAGCCGAGCTCTTCCCTGGTGTGCTGATGCACAGGCACACTCACTGCTGTGCGTGCCTCTGGGGGCTGCCTGTCAAAGCCAGGAGCACAAGGAGCTCCAGAGGCAGGGATTTCCTCTCGTGCCCATCCCACACATGGCAATCCACTGCGTGCTTCCTTGCAATGTCTAGAGCTGCACCTTTCAGGAGAATGGAAAATTTGTCAAAATGTTGCCACTTTAACAGAAAGCTGGGTGAGTTCCCTTGTTCTTAATAGAATGTACCTTTCTTTTACTGCTGCTAATGCAGAAAGCAGCTGATCATATTTTGTGGGACTCACATTGTTTTTACAGTACTTCGCCTCTGGAATAAACCCGGGCATATTGCATGTCAAGAATGGCAAGGATTTTGTGGTGGAAGACAGGCCATGGATTTCCATGGATGCTCTTTCTTTCCTTCAGACATCTGAGAGAAATTGAGTGCTACACTGTGCCATCAGAGACATAATAGCTCCTCAAAAATAGAAAGGATTGTCATTTGTCTCTTTAAAGTGCATTTAACATGCACTTGCCTATTTGGGTTGTTAAAGCCTTTCGTCAAGCAATTGTGCAACACCTTATCCCAACCCACAACTGCAGCCCTTTGCTGTAATACAAACAGTGATGATAAATTAATGTCTGGCTTGGCAATATTGCTACAGTCTCCGATTCTGAGAAGGTGTTTTCATTTAGAGAAGAGAAATCAAATGGCAGATTCCACTGTCTCTCACCCTTCCTGACTGTGAACAAGCTGGTCCTTGTTTGTAAACCCTGTGTATCTTGCTCTGGGGGAGGAGGCACTGTGGAAGCCCCTCACCCTTGTAATAAGGGCAGCACATCAGTAGTTATTTCTTGGGGATTTTTTAGTTAGCTGTTTCAAAAGGAGAAGGAAAGAGTTTCTTGAAAACCAAATACTAAGGTTTTACAAGTAGAAAGAGCAGAGCAGGCAGAGGGGAAATGCTTTACAAACATGATGCTCTTTCCAAACCCAGAATCACTAGCACAGAAGTAACAATGTGCTGTTGTTCACCTTCCAAAGTCTGGAACTGTTTCTGTACATGATGCAGAGGGGATAGTCAGAATCCCTGGATAATCAGCTTTGTCAGCTGGGCTCTCACAAGGCAAACACAGCTTCCTGAGACTGCTCAGCCTGAACTCTCATAACACCCAGGCTGAGACCAAGAAGGTGACTGGTGTTGCTCAGAAGTACCTTACCAAAAATAAACATCCACGGAGCCATGGAGTCACTGCTCTTCAGTGCTGCTCTCAGGGGCTCACTGAGTTTCCTGAAGACACAAAATCAACCAGGAGGAAGCACTTGTAGTCCACTGGAATGGTTGCATTGCTATGCTCTGTCAGAAAGGACCAGACTTTAAACTGGGGAAGTTTCTAGGCACGTATTTCTGTCCATGCTACAAAGAGCCATGGCAGGCAAGGGTTAGTAATGTTCTTTCCTTGTTTTTCATGTCGTACATACATCAGGGTATGATCATGAATTCATACGCTAATTTTGTTCAGTGTCCTCACAGCCTTAGAGAAAGCAAAGGCAGGGAGCCTTTGCAAGCAGCATTTGATACCTGCAGACTTGTGGGTTGAGTCAGAGAGCTGGGATAAGTGAAAGGGATATCCCATCATTCCTAGAAATGTTGAAGTTATAGACACAGAGGGATAGCCAAGACAGCGGGATGTGAGGAGTGCTTAGAGGAGTGAAGGAGTGAGGACAGCATGGGTAGCCTTGCTTAAAGGAAGGTATACTTCCTTTTTATATATCCCAGCTGCTGCTCCCTCAGCAAGCTCAGCTCACAGACTGCAAAGCTGGAGCAGCAGCTGGGAGATATAAAGGCAGGGATTAAAATGAAGTGTGTGTATTTTAAAACATGAAAACCCTGCAGCAGGGTCCAACCCTCCTTGTCTTTTGCCCTGCCCTGACTACCCCAGCACCATTAATCTCAAGGAAAAACTAGATTGGCCTTTGAGCTAGGGCTTTCCTCTCTGATTACAGTGTTTGGACTGCACAGTGCTGGCTTAGTCCCAGATGCTGGAGCATCACAGGCACGCCCATTCCCAGACAGTGGATGCTGTGTTAAGGGACTGCCACCTGGCAGCATCTCCAAGGAACTGCAAAAACACTTCCCAGAGACAGAGGTTAGTGAGCATCAGCCTGCAGGAGACTCGTGGTGCACCCAGGAAAGAGAGATCAGGTCTGGTTGAGCCAGACTGATGTTGCTGACTGATGGAGCTGGCGTTGAGGGGCTGCTGCTGTGATGAGGGACACTAGGCCAGGGAAACATTCATGGGGACAACCTTATCAGGGACTTTCCCACTCACTGAAGAAGTTGTTCATCCTTTGAGAAAAATCCCACTGTTTTCCCTCTCTTACTTCAAGTTGGCTGAAGATGCCTAGCCTAGTTATACTCAGTCATGGTCTCTTTTTAGGCAAGAGCTAAGCTTTTGATTTGTGAAGATACACCTGAAAAGGTAGGCCTCACCTTGTCTCTATTCTTCTAGTTAAAAAGAGAAGAACAAACATGAGAACTGTACTGAAGAGTGGTGTGGGATGCACAGAAAAATAAAATAATCTCTCTTGATCAAGACCCAACCTAATAATCCAGCTTCCTTCATTTTGAAGTCTTCAATACTGCCCTCTTACCTGAGCTACTCTTTCCTTCTTTTGTTTTGCGACAAGCTGGCAGATGAAACAAGAGCATCTTTTCAACACATTCTCTGGGTATTTCCCCCAGATAAGACTCTCAGACAAGTTGCCTAAAGTTTTCTGAACCAGCTGAATTTGAAAAGGAGCATACAAAAGGCAGTAAGTAATTTCTGTAACATTTCAGAAGACTTCAAACGGGAACACTTTGGAAAGTTTACTGTGCTACCCAACATCATAGAAAACAAACTTCCAAACTTTTGTTTGTAATGAGACCTGCATGAACTAGACAAATTTGAGGCTTAGCTGAGCCTGAGATCCTTTTGCCAATGCATGTTGCTATGCTTAGCGCGTGAAGGGCCCTTGACAGGTAGTACAAAGTTTGGTTATCTATTCATAATTCATGTATAAATTTGCATACAGAGGAAAGCTCAAGCGAGATGGAGAGCTGAAGAGATTAAGTCACTTTTTAGAGTCAGCACAGTGGATTAAGGTCCTGAATGACATCATTAACACACCTACAGCTGTGACCTCGTTGGATCATTGCTAGCTATGACGTCTTAGCTAAACCTGCTGAGCCAAGAATGCCCTATGTGTGTTCAAATATTAAGGCCATAAAGAAGTTGATCAGTGAATACCAAATGAACATTTTTTACCGAGAAAGTTACGAAAAATCCCACTCTGCCATTCACACAAGCTGTCTGACAGAGCTGGTTACCCAAATGTGAAAGCATCTGTGCACCCCCTGCAAATTATCCGTGATTCCCTGAGAATTCTTATGGATTGATGAGAATCCATGATTCCCTCCAGCTCCCAGGAGCTGAATTAGTGGGGATCAGGGTGACTCACCAGTCCGTGTGCGCGTCATCGATCACCAGGAGGACCTTGGGTTTCTGTGCCGTGGGGGGCGCGGGCCCGGCCGAGTGCTCCATCAGGCCCGCAGCCGCCTGCGTGGTTTGCTTCATGGCGCTGGAGATGGAGCTGAAGATGCTGCTGCCCGTGGAGGAGGAGTGCGAGGGCTGAGGCGGCTGCAGGTGCTTCCTCTCCGTGGCAGGAGACACCGGGGAGCTCGTGGAGCTGTCGGGGCGCTGCAAGTCCATCATGTACCCGTTGGGCAGGTTTGCCACGAAGCTGCTGTCTGAGAGACGCCGCCGGAGGAAATTCATCTTTGCAGTGCTGTGGGGAAACTGAATGGTGCTGTTGCCAGTGCTGGAGGATGCCTCTGTGGCCGTGTGGGTGCTTCTTTAAAGTCCAGGCAGGCAGGCTTTACCCCTTGAAACTGTGCTGGAGATCTATGCCTAATTTTGTCAGCTATATTTTCCTTCTCTCCTGCGGGAAGAGAATCAAAGACATATATGTGAGGTACATACTGTGAGACTGAGTTAAGTAACCTCCTTTGGGTGTCTTAGACAGGTACCTTAATCAATGGAAGAAGGGACTGCTGGTTGCTATGTAGTATTCCACACTGCTACAGTCAAACAATTAGGACAAAATATATGTCACCATTGTCATCCCCAAACATTTTCTGATCTGTAGAGACCAGCCTGCACTAGCTTAGGGGCTAACAATTCGATTACTGTGGACAAAGAAAAAATTACTCTGATAAATGTTAATTTTAAAATGACAGGTACCTTATTTCTAGTATCTTGTGTGTTGAAAATTACAGAATCACAAGCAAATAATCCAAATGGATATAAAGTTGTATCATCTTTGGTAGGCTTGTGAGCAAAGTTTTGAATGTAAGGAACAAATGTCCAAAATTTAAATAGGACTTAAATAAAAAATAGCAGAATAATTCCCATACACATTTTGATCAAGTTCAGTGACAGAAATTACACTTTTCTGCACCTCCTCCTCTCTGCACTCAGACTCTGAGCCAGGTCCTTGCTGGTGGTTGTTTGGAAGATTCTAGCAGGCCATCTGATTTTTGACATTCACTTGTAGGAATTTTGCAGTTACTCAAAACTAGAAACTTGGCTGTCTAATCTTCATACAGTTTTTTTCCTCTCTCATTGGTGTTTTTGGTTTGTTTGGTTTGTTTCGTTTTAACAGGAATTTATTCTGCTCTTCTCTTCAAATGAGAAAACTAGCATGGTGAAATATAGGTACTTGACTCTTCTCCCTTGACCATGGTATGATGACTTTGTTTTTACTCAGAATACTAAGTATTTCAGCAATTAAATAATCTCACAATTTAAAAAAAAAAATTCACCTCTAGGCACACCCCAGAAGACAGACTTCCACAGTAATTTCCTGAGAAAATTTTATCTGCTAAGACAGCCTTTGAGTCTTGGTTGGTGAGATTTAGGGAAAAAACAACAAAAATTTATTATTGGTAAAACACATACGTTCTTTAAGACATACATATTTGCAGCAACAAAAACGAGTGTTGCCTCATACATCAAGTGAGATGAGTCTCATGCATCCATGGTATCATTGTTTAAATTATGCCTAACTCCCTTCAAGTCTCTTTGAATGACCCCCTGCAAATACTGGAGCTCCTTGCCTTCACCTGGTTTGGTGTCCTTTACTGCTCACCCTCCTGTCCCAAATTCTGATTGCCTCCTGAGGGCAGAAAATTGTCTTTCCCCAGTTGTCCAAGAAGACAAATTGAGAATGTCTCTCCTGGAGCTGTGGGTGAGAGCTCATGGAGCAACCAAACAGCTTTCTAAAAATAAGCTCTCATTCATTTTCGCCTGCAGGGATTTACAAAGCTTTGCAGACAAAAGAGTCAGACCACATTGTCATAGCCCCCAAACCCTTAGAGAGGCTCAGATGAGCCTACCTGGAAGTAAGCAAGCTACAAAAAGCCCCTTGGCACATCCCCAAATCTCACTGTCCATCACCACCCTGAATCTGTGGGCACAGGATCCATCCAGAGCAGAGGGCTCCCCACTGGAGCTGCTGACTCTGGCTGATTAGAATAATTTTTCTTTTGATTTCTAAGCCCTGGCAGTGCAAGTCCTCTGACTTTGCTGGAGCCTGGAGGTAGTCTTTTCCCAGGGAATGGCTCAGGAAATCTTTAATGACTTCCTGCCACATTCACAGTCGATAATGTATCTCGGGCTATTGTGCTGACTTCCCGCCTCCCCGGTGACTGCTCAACATCAGCAGACACACACCAGGGAGCACTTCAGTAGCACTGCCTGCAGCAATTGCTCCAAAAGGAGGTAATGGAGAGTACCCACGAATTGTGAGCTGGCTACTCACCCCATATATACACCCACGCAATACTTATCCTGTTGCCGGAGTGGTGAGTGCCAGCACTGAGCCATCCACTGTAACCTGTCCAGGATGATGGGGGTGGAACAGCCTACAAAGGCTTTGGGGGATTTATATGCCACAGACTGGGTAAAAATGTGCTGTGCTGTCCTCTAATCAGGAACCTGTGTTTTCTCCTTGCATAACACAAACAAGAAAAATCCCCTCCCCTGAGTGACAATTCATTCAGGAGTAGGTGCAGTCCTGGTTAAAGAGGAGTATCCCAGAGATCTGCCCACTGTCAGAAGGGCTCCAAATGAGTACCCCATTGCTGTATACAGCTATCAGGCATGCTCTCTTCTAGGGCCTTGGTGTTAACTGGCAAGACCTGGGGCATAAATTTGATACTGGCCTTGGGAGAAGCACTTGCAGCACAAGATCCCTGCTCTTTGCATGACTTGCACATCACAGAGCTGCTGGTTCCTGCTGTGGCAGCTCTCAGCCACGGGAGGGAACCTGCCCCCAGCCATGCAGGCTGGACAAGGCTCTTGGCATAAGCCAGCATCCTTGGGACAGGGTCCATAAAGACTTCCATTTTTGTCAAGGTGCTTCTTCCTCTCTGCCAGGTGTTTGCATAGCTGCTTCCTCCCCCGAGAGATTTGCACTCTCCAAATTAACATGGATAACTTGCAAAGCATCAGCAAGTAAATGAATGGGCAAATGTCTCTGCTGGGCCCTGCAGTGAGGGAAGAACAGCATGGAGGCTCATGACCTAGGGTGTCCCAAGGCTGTGTAGGGCCAGAGTATTCCATGAGGTGCATGGAAGGCACAGAGTTTTCCTCTTCAACAGGACTTCCCAAACTGTGCTCAGTGCTTGCACTAAACAATTTACCATACTTAGTGCAAGGCCATGACCACTCTGCTCCTGGCCCCTTTTAAACAGGAATGTTTGCAGTGACCTGTCATTTTTTTTCCGCCAGGGGTTTCGTAGTGGGATTTGTTGCCCAGGAAATGCTGGGACCTGGCAAAATTCTCTTGTCTAGAGAGTTTGGGACATTGCACTTAGTCTGGCCTTTCCCTGTGCTGGTTGGCACACCCTCCACTCTCTGCTAAGACTGGGCTGCATGCCGTTGGCTTGGGGAGGAAGGAGAGGAAACCTAAGCTCTGATGTCACAGGGAAATCTCCCTCTGGCAAAGCACACAGAGGTTAAAATCAATGGATGACACTGCAGCAGAGAGCAATGCCTGGCTCCACTCTGGGGTTCCTCAGCTTTGGGCATCTCAGAGTGATGGTCCTCCTCTCATTACATACATTTTTCTAATGATCTGGCTAATGTAATTGAAAAAGTTTGTTGGGTTTTTTTGTTTGTTTTGGTTTTGTTTTTTTTTTTTAGGCTTCACTGTATCGATTTGTCAATTGCCATTAGCGCCACCACAGAGATCTTCTCTGCAATGGGAGCAGTGCAAACTGCCAGGAACTTTTCTGCCAGCAGTTTACACTGCTTTCATTGCTGGAAAACCTCATAGTCTGCTTTTGCATCACTCACACTTACTGTTATTTAACTTTCAGAAGTAGGTGTTTTCATACAGGCACAGGCTGAGTAGGTTAGGGCCTCATTTCCCTACAGCTTGAAACTCTCTGTGGACTTGCTGAGGGCTCAGCCTGTCAGGCCAAATCTGGCTCTGTAGCTCTTATGCTGCACAACATCCACCCAGTGCACACACAGATCTTACCCTGGCAAGTGAGCAGGGCTGCAATTTTCACAAATGCAGGAGCCTACACCTCCATCAGAAGCAAGACAGATCTGCTGAGTGGTTTTTGTCACTCCAGAGCCACAGGCAGGAGAGCTGCTGGCTCTACACCATCAAGTCATACGTTCCCTGTGTACACCAGTCTCCGTATGGCTCACAGGGAGACACATCACCTACTTAATGCTGTGCCAGGCACAAACTTGCCTGCAGGAAGGGAGCTCCCTGCACAGCTGCAAATACAGCCCATGGGCTGCTTCCAGACCAAGCAACAGCTCCTGTGGAGTTCCTCAAGTTGCAAGACAAGCAGCTGCTTCTCACCAAGCCGGAGTCATCTGCTGCTGAGTGAAGCAGCTGCTCCTGAAAGCTAGCTGGGAAAACAGCATCTGGGCCATGGAGCTGCAGGCTGGAATCTGCTCTGTACTTCAGGGTGGGGAAATAACAACTTAGGCACAGGAGAATGAGTGAGTCCTGAGGAAAGAGAGCAGGCAAGAGAGACAGGGAGAAGAGCAGGAGGAGGAGAAAGCAGTAGCAGAAAGGGAGGAAGCAAGCAGGAATAGGCTTAACCAGCAGACAATGCAGGAGCACACAGAAATCCCAACAATGTGAGCACCTTCAAGGAACCAAAAGGGAACAATGTGAGCATCCAAATGAGGCAAGAAGAAGGTCAAGTGGAGCTGACCTTGAAAACAACAGCCAAGGGGTTGGCACTGTCAGCCCCTTACTAACACACAGTTAAACTTCCTGGCTGATATTTTTGGAAGAGCAAGGGAGGATATGCAATCTACTCACTCAGCACACTGACAGCAGCCAAGCACCTACCTGCTTTCTCTCAAGGATATATTCTGTGGAGATGCAAGTTATCTCAGAAAACCTGTTGACATGTGTTAGAAAACAAGAACAGGATGTTCACTTAAACCTCTTGTTGGGTTATTTTCTGATGTGCAGCAGTGTCTGGAGGGAACCCAGCTCAGCTGGCTGATAGCTGCTACCCACGCTTAGATTTCTCCTGAGCTTGTTATCTCATGCTGTCAGGTAATGAACTGACACAACCACACCAACCTGCATCTGATTACTGCTCTTGACAGAGCAGTGCTGGGGGCAGCAGGATGGAAAAACACTGCAGAGGGATTATCCCACACCTCACTGTTAGAGACTGCACTCTTCCTTCTGCCCCACGCTGGGAGGGAAGGTGAGGGGAAGCTCCTCACCTGGCAACAATCATTGCCTTTCACCCCCTCACATCCATTTTGCAGACTGCCTTCAGCACACATTCAAGTCTTAAAACATTCCCATGGATCCCTTTCTGCCTTCAGGCATACTGACAGCATGTGGGAGTCGACCTCTGTGGAGGGACAGCCGTGTTAGGAAACTCAAAATCCAGCTGGATGCCTTTCCACACACAGTATATTTTTTAAAACTGTATTTTCCACATTTCTAGTATATTTCAAAAAGAAGAAAGCAAGAGGTTATTTATCATTGTCAAGCTTTCAGTGTTTCACCCTGAATGGTTTCAGTGTTTCAGCATCCCAAGCTTGGCATAACTTGGCATTTCTTGGGAAAAACTGAAAGCATAATAAAACAAATTGTTCTGAAATGAATTAGAATTGTTGTTAGTTTTTTTATTTCATTTGCCACAGTCCTGGGTTCAAGAGGTTCACATGTTTAAACATTTCTTGGTGTCTTTGGAGGCGGTTGCAAGGAGTCAGAAGCCCGCAGCTGGAGGGGATGCCAGGGCAGGGGAGCAGAAAGAGCTCTCAAGACAATAATCCTATCTGGAGCCTGAGTCTCCTGCTACGTGTTAGGCAGCAGCTCACCAGAATCAGAGAATGGCCTGGGCTGGAAGGGATCCTAAGAATCATCTAGTTCCACCCATCCTTCTGTGGATTTTCACAAGAAGCCAGTCTCTTGTGCATTCTGTTTCTCTGCTCAAACATGGAGACTGTCAGAGATGGCAGGATGTCTCTCTGTCAGAAGTGAATCACTTCACAATGTTCAACATGCTTCACTAAGCCACTGAAACATATAAAGGTGCAATGATTCCATTGTCTTATTGCTGCATTCCTGTAGATCTTAAAAAAAATCCTCTCTGCTTGCTTGGGTGGCTATTTAACTGGAAGTCTGGGTTTCACAAATCTTATCTGTATTTTCCTTTTGCAAAGCTGCCAGAGCTTTCTACACAGCAGCTTCATGGTAGGGGGCTGCCTTATCTCCTGAAGATAGTGGGGGTGTGCATATCAAACCAAGTGCAAATGGGACCACTTCCCAAGAGCTACACCCTCATTTGCACAGCAAATGAGCAAGTCTGCTTCCTCTTTTGCCTATTATTTCATAATGGCAAGTGAGGAAAAGATGGGGAAAAACAATCCAAAGTGAAAAAATGCCTCTGTAAGATTATCAGACTTTCAAGCAGATTGCAAAGGAAGATGACTAAAGCCATGAACATTAGTGAAAAATTTTCTAGCAAAAATAAATCTGAATATAATGATAATACTCTCTGGCTTTAATATCCCCCGAGATCAAATTACGACGTGTTACTTCTTGGAAACAATATATTATTTCATCATTTTAGTTTCACTTTGGAAATCCTGTTGGCACCTAATGGCTGTGGTGTTGTCTCAGTGGTAATATCCTCTTGTCAATGAGCTTATGGAGGCCTTTTGTGGCCTGTCTGCTCAACATCAATAATTGCTTATCAGCAAAGCCAGACCCAGCACAACTGGAGCAGGCAGTGTGTCTAATCCTTGAATGCCACAGAGTCATCTCCATCTCAAAGTCAGTTGAGTTTGCATCCTGCCTCCATTTCTTATTTCCCAGGAGTGCTGTGGTCATTCCTACCCCCAGCAATAGTGACACTCATGCTTCCATTAAGGCTGATAGTTGCACACATGCCAAAGTGGCTCCTCATGGTGAGGGTAAAGGAAAGCAGGAGACAGCAGTACAACCAGAGAACTTGTAAAGATAAATGCTCTGCGTATTAAGTGGATGAAATTGTAAGAAGGAAGTAAGCAGGGCTTGGAAGGTTCTGTCTTTTTCCTCCCCAGTCTTGGATCTGATGCAGTTCGTGGTGTGTGCTGTGAGACATGCTTCAAGTTTTCTGCAGCAACCGTGCAAGCCCTGATTTCATGGTGATAAGAGTGAAAGTGGCACCAGACACACCATTAATAGAGCAGGGATTTCCTTCAGCTGAGAGGCGTGCTGCTTTGAAGAGTGCTGATCTGAATAAAATCAAGGAGCTGGGTGTATTTAATATGTAGGGCCTGCCAATATGCATTAGGGCTCATGCAGATAAGATGTGCCTCAGGGACTGACAACTCACAGGGTCTCAGAGGAAACTGCAGCATCTTGCCCAGTGCTAATGGGGCTCGTGTCTTGATTGTGATCACTTCCTCATTCCCGGGCAATTTTCTTTCTACTCTGTTTCAGTTCTGCCACAATAGACTGGTTATTCAAAATGCTTGTAAACAAAATATTTCACTACCACAAAGTGAACTAGGTATGTTGTAGGGAAAAAAGTGCTATAGGCTGTGAAACAGGAGGAAACAATTAAGAGATTATAGTATACATCAAATACATAATTATTAGTTAACTGGTAATGATAAGAAGGATTTTCTGTTTGGAGCCCAAATTGTATTAATTTTGATATGATTATAAGACAAAAATCTATTGCATATTTCCAAATAAAAAAATCTTCAAACACAACTTCATAATTCTTGCATCTATGCTTCTAATTAATTTTAAGCTGCTACAAAAACTCAATTTCTTTCCCAAATGTTCTATGCTTCTGGGGGTTAAAAAGTCTTCCTTCAAACATTTTAAGTCCTCCAAACTATCTGTAGTACTAACATAATCCATCTAAGCTTTGCTGCCATTTGCATCTGCCTCATTTCTTCCCCCTGCATCACTCCACGCACCAGCATATTCCAGTTTCCCAGATTTTCCCCATATGGCAAGGAACCCCTTATCATATACATGAGATTTACTTCACCTGATGGTGTGAACAGCAGATATCTGGAGAAATAAAACCTGTAGCTTGCCTTTGTTTAGCTCTTTTGCTTTCTAACCTTCTGTGCCCATCTCATGTAGCAACACAAAGACTAAGCCAAGAACTGGAGCACCCTGATTTATTTTGATGACAGAAGGGAAAGACAATGTTTTACTGCATTCTGGGCAAGATTTGTGACACAACTGTAAGACAGTTTGATGTCAATTCTTTCATGTGATGTAGAAGTGGTGGGAGATTGGCTGGACTATTCCTGACAAAGAGACAATGAGGATTGGTAGACCTTCAACTGGAGCACTGCAGGGGTTGTCTCAAGCTCTGTGGCAGCCAACCCAAACCATGCTGAGGATTTGTGGGAGATATTTTCCCTCACTGTTGTACATCTTTGATCACATGGAGACACATGAAAAGATGTGTGGGTTTGTGGAGCATGTCTCTTTTGCTCCCACCATGTACCCACACACCTCTCACCCCAACAAGGGCACGTTCCCCCATCCCAGAGCTGAACTGAGCACCCCAGTCTTTGTGACATTGCCAGTGCCTGCTGCCCTGTTGCAACCTCGAAAAATGTGCATAAGATCCTGCTCTAGCACGGCTGCAGGTTGGAGAGATGCAAGCCAAACATATCTGTGGTACCAGCAGAAACCTCTGCAGACAGTCAGGGGGTAGGTGTTAGGTCCCTTACAATAAGGAATCTGGACAGGTTCTGAAGGCTATTTATGAATTTATGTTGTCTCTGTAGGGACACTGTGTTGATGAAGAGTTGCATCATCAGAGATGCACTGCTAAGATCAGAAAATAACTTTTAAAAAGCTAGGGATAAACTTTATTGCTACCCTATTTCATTAACTCTCTTTTATCTGGCTGTCTTCTCTCCCAGTTCCTGCCTGCTTGCCTGTCCAGTCTTTGTACTCATGCTGGATGGTGTAGGAGCCCTCCACAACTGGCTCCAAACACCAGGTACTGTGTTTAGACAGAAAGCATCAGAACATATAATACATGAGTGGGGAAACTGGATTAGATTCTGGACCCATACAAAGTTCTGAAAAATCAGGCTAGTTGGCTGTGCCCAGAGATGGAAATAAAGCACAATGTGATTGTCAAACCATGACAAAGTCTCCTGCTATCCGCTTGGGGAAAGGTCATGCAGTGCCTTGGTTTCCCATTTAAGATGACAAGCTTTATTTTGCAGAGTGCAGAGATCTTGCAAGGCTCAGCTCATACGCCTTCACGCTGCACCTCTGAGCCAAGCACAGGCAGCTTCAGGAGCTCTGCTTCCCCTGCTGATCAAGAGCTGAATTACAAAGCTTTAAGAGTTACAAGAGTGGCCAGCCTTAAATAAGAAACAAACCACCAAACCTTTTAAGACCTGGAGAGTATATAGCCACCATGAGTGGGGGAAAAAATGAAAAAGCTTTCTTGGAAAGCTTGGAAAAAAGCAGCACTTAGAACCATTTTGTAACCAGGAACACAAAGGATGAATCTGCACAGCTATTTTGGGTTCTCCTTCTGTGCTTTGAGAAGTTCTGTCTCAAGGAAAGGAGAGAAGGAAGGGGAAGAGGGGAAAGAGGAGCATCTGCAGCTGGACAGCCCCAGCAGGCACTGTGAGAGGAACTCAAGCCACAGGCACTGGTGTCAGCTCTTTCTGGGTGCACACACAAGCATGGTGTGAATTACTGTGCTTGTGTACAATTGTACAATGATATGGGTAATGATAGAAGCATCATTGCAAAGTATTCCTATTCCTCTCTGGGGCAATCTGCATTTCCCAGAGCTAATTAGTTCTGTCCCACATGACTGAAGCTTACAGACAAAAGCCTCTTTTAGTCTGGATATGCATTTACAAGATAAAAAGGCATGCCCAAGAGTAG